ACTTGTTGTGTACCTGGTCACACACAAAGACTGTGCAGCAGGCCCAGCAGACAGTTATAGCCTGGGGTGTATTGACCCGGCATATTCAGTAACTACAAAAAAAATGTATCTAAGGCAAGCTGTAACACCCCAGGGGCCGTGCAGGTCCCAACAGGAGAATGGCATGCACTCAGTTTTCCAGAAAAAACGTGTTTCTTTGGCAATATTTTCTTTCCCTTTGCATGCAGCTAGTTGCTGGCTACTGGGCTGTTATAGAGACAGATTGAAGACTATAGGTACCAGGTTGCCGTGAGCTCTGAGCTAACCCCTGGGAACTGGGCATCTACCTCTAGCCCCCAGCCTAGTGAATTGTGTGTGCATGTATCTCTTTATCACCACAAGTACTGATGTGCGGGAGGTCCAAGCTGGGGCAGAATGTGTGGGGGTGGGGGGGGGTGGATGGGACGGACAGGTAGGCAGGAAGCCCAGCCCCCTGCTGCTTTGTCCTCCTTCTCATCCATGCTGACTTCTCACAGGAGTCTCTTAGACTGTTGAAGGAGGGAAATCACAAGCGAGTGACACACAAAGCAGCAGGAAAGGTGACACCACGCAGTGAGGCCCCTCAGGGTAAGGGCAGTGGGAACGGGCATCTTCTCCATCTTTGTGGTGTGGAGAATGTTGCTATAGCTGCTTCGCATGCTGCTCCATGAGCTGCCTGGAAGGAGAGGTGGCCTGAGAGAGAGTTTCCCATTGATCATGGCCTGTGGTTAACCATGGGGTCAGGTGTCAGAGAGGTAGAAGGGACACGGTTAGATTAGAGAAGGACCCATTTGGGGGATGAATCCTTTCTAAATGCTCTTTAGAGGGTGCCAGGGCTTGGCAGGTGCCTGACAGCCTGAGAGCCAGGTGGCTTTTCCTTCTAGCTGCTGCAGCACCTGCCCATAAACAAAGTACCTTTTATCCCATTTGACTTACAGTACTCAGCATTCAAGAGAAGAGCCTCCTCTTCCTGGTTGCCTTGGCTGAAGCTCATGTCCTGTGCCCAGTCAACCAGCAGGTGGCAGCCAAGCTCAGCTGCAGCTCTCTATTGTAGCCACGGGACCACTCTTAGCCTCTCTCTAAGATTGCCAAGCCCCTGGTTGCAGACCCTCCAGCACGCCCACTGATGCGCATACCATACACAGAGATCACATATATCACTGTCAGTGACCAAGGGGCTTTCTCCATGGTCTGCCTTTCTTCCCCTGTCTCCACTCCTGGCACAGCTGCAACAATAGAGGCGACTAGAAAAGACTGGGAATGACTGATAGCAACTGCAAGATTCAGGCACAATGGTACACAGGACATAGTACTAAACACCATCTACCCCACTGTCCAGAAGGTGGCCCAGGGACTTGGTGAAGCCAGGAGGTGGTCCTTCAGTCATGCTTTCCTCTCAGTGCTTCCCCTGTCTCCAGTGCTTTGGGTTCCAGGTGAGAGAATTTAGATTCCAGAGGAAGAAACCCCAAGGGGAGACACCCACATGGGGCTGTTGCCCCAGAGGCTGAGATGGTACCTGGCCCCTTTGGGCTACTCTTATCAGTTAGAGAATATGGTATGGGCCAGGTACACAGAGTAGCAAGGGGGACAGTGTCTCTGCTCAGTGGCATCTCTGGAACCCTAATGACACTCATGGATGGGGATCACAGTGTCTCCTTGAGCAGGGCCACTCTAAGGAGTAAAGGCTTGGTTTGCTCTGTTGAGACCTCGGAAACTGGAGTGGATTAAAGATAGCCACTCTGTGCTGTAGCACAAGGCACAGGGAGTCCGTCTGTCCTCTCTTGAATCTGAACTGACCCTGAGACTTGAACAGCTTTGATGAGAGCCTGTGGGCCTCCACTGCAGGGGAGGGGTAGGAGTGTCCTTGGTGCCTTGAATGCTGTGTGTGACACGGAAGCAAGTGCTACTCGGCATGTGAGACATTTCCCACGGTGGCAGCTGGAGCTGGGCTTTACCACATACTGGTTCCCTGCTCCTCCAGAATTTCTGTGACCTTCCCTAGACCCAGGGGCTCTGCCTTCTGCTTAACTCAGGCTGCCAGGACCCCAGGCCATTCTGGGAAGAAGTTTATTCTAAGTCAAATAACTGAAGAAACCTAAATCTCACAGGCCTCCTGGGGAGACAGACTTGAGAAGCAGGTCTGTCTAGTTGGTGGCATCAGCACCACCTGAAACCATGCCTCCCAAGGCCTTTGGCCAGGAAGAGCCACCCACAGAGCAGGCCAAAGTCACAGTTCTGGCACACTGAGGAGATGTCCCTAGGGTGCTGGGTGAGGATGGGTGCTTCTGGATGGGGAGATTAAGCTGCCTGCCCTACTCCACCTTCTGGGCCCAAGCATCTTAGAGACCACTGCTACTTTTCCCCCCTAACTCCATCTTGGGAAGTCCCTCTCAGGGCATAGACCAGTCCTTGCACCACCGCTGTAAAGGTCCCCGAGTCTTGCCCATTCTGTGTTTAGGTTCCAACTGACTCAAGTCTTGGGGACTTGTACCATGCTAGGCCTTGACCTCCACTCTCAGCAATCCCAGGTATCTGTTTTTCTGATCCTACTGCTGAATGGAAAAAAACCAACAACAAGGGCAGCGTCTGCCGGGCTGCCACAGGCACCCAATGCTCAGGATAGCGTGGCAGGCCTCACTGGACATGTGACAGAGATGCCCTGAATGCTGCTTATTGTTCTGTGCACCCAGGGCCTGAGAAGCTCGTTAACCAGACAGAGCATGGCATTTCACACTCATAAACCTCCAGCGTGGACACACCAATGGCATCCTCCTTAAAGACGCAAATGGATGCGTTTGGACTGAGTAACTAAGGCTTAGGAGCTCGCCCAAGGGAGTCAGAGAGTATGGGGTCTCCACTCCTCAGTTTGTGGTGTCCCTGCCCCAAATTCTGGAGGACCCAATAGGCCATTTAATCTCTCTAGTACCTGTGGACTCTAAAGTAAAACAAAGCAGGGGGTGGGCTTCAGCACCTGCTTCACATGGCTCCCTTCCCATCTCTCGGTGCCTGGCAACTTCTGCTAAACGTGTCCATCCATGCAAATACAGGCTGGGCTGGATTGGTCCCTGCTATCCTGGCTCTGCCCCCTACTGTGTATCTCTGAAGGGAGTGACTGGGAAAAGGCCCTGCCCTTTTAAGAAGCCACCAGAATGGGGCAGGGCCCTTGGTGTGGCCCTTTCCATCCTGTGGCCACCGTGAACACACCCTGCTTGCTTTCTGACTCTCCACCCAACTCATCATGTCACAGGTGTGTGGCTCCATCCAGAATCACCACTGCAAAGCAGACAGGTCTGCGGGTCAGAGTGGGCATCATGAAGGAAAACAGAAGGCTTCAGCAGTCCTTGGTTCCAGCTGTCACTCAAGATGACAGATGTTGGGGGCGGGAGAACTCTGAGTTTGAAGGGGACAGAAAGATGAGCCATCTAGGGTGGAGCTGAGCCCCTTGGACACACTCAGAGGCCACACCAGAGTGCCACAGCTCCTTTTGCTCCTGGCGCTCACCATGGTGGACAATGGGAAGCATTTCACCTCAGTGCAAATCACAGAGCACTGTGAGGGTAGACTCAACACTTTCTGCTGCCTGCAGGTCCACAAAACAGCTGTGGGGCATAAAGTCTCCCCTCATCCCTCATATGCTTCTGCGGGAAAGGTTCAGAGACAAATGTCTGATAAGGGTCACGGCAGCACTCAAAGGCTAGGGCTCTTGTGGGATGGAACAGAACAAAAAGCGTCCTGGGGTGGGCTTTGTAGATAAAGATGGGGTCGTAGGATGCGGCAGCCTTGCCCTCTCATGAGTATGCACACACAGAACACTGTGCTTGCTGTCTCCCTTCAACTCATGAGTACCATCCAACCTGGGAGGCTAGGAACACTGACTGTGCCCATTATCCGACAAAGAGACCGAGGCTCCCTGGAAATCACACAGCAAGAGTGTTGAGTTGTTTAAGAAAACATGTAAGCCGGGCGTTGGTGGTGCACGCCTTTAATCCCAGCACTTGGGAGGCAGAGGCAGGTGGATCTCTGTGAGTTCGAGGCCAGCCTGGACTACAGAGCGAGTGCCAGGATATAGGCGCCAAAGCTACACAGAGAAACCCCGTCTCGAAAAACAACAACAAAAAAAAAAAAAAAAAAAAGAAAAAGAAAAAGAAAAGAAAGAAAGAAAGAAAGAAAGAAAATATGAGATGTAAAGCAGGCCTCCTGGCCAAACATGCACCTTGTTCCAGTGACAGAGTCTCATACATGCCTCTGTGCCATCAAAAACATATGTGGTATGGGGAGGGACCTCACAACTGATCCTGGCATGCTGGCATGGGCTGCACGTCCACATGCATGGTACAAGTGCATGCCTGTGTATGCACACCCATGTGTACAAATGTGTGAGTGTGATGTACGAGAGACTGCAGGGGCTCTGTGAGGCTGTCTCTGCATTTTTCTGAACTCTCATTCCTGACAAATACCCCAAATAGCCATGAATAAGCACAGCGCAGTTTTTGCTGCCAACCCCATACCATGAGCAGCCCAGAATGCCAGCCTCGGTCTCTGGGTATAGGGAGCAAGCATCAGGAACAACTAGACTAAGGTATTTTATAACTCTGCCCGTGGGTGGGTCCAGAGCCCTTTTCTATAGACGACCCGGAAAGGATGCATGAGATGTTCAAGACAGCTCCACGGTGAATGCTGGGTGAGGCAGAGCCTCACTTCTTAGCCTCCAGCCTGCCTCAGTATGCCAGCCACTCTCTGAAGGACCTGTGTATGACCCCAGTCTTCTGTCCCCATGTGCTGCAATAATCCTGCACTACAGTCATGTGCTAGAGTTCAGGTCTGTGCAGCACAAGGCATCGTTGAGAAGGGGGTCTGAATGAATAGAGACAATTTCCCAACAGAGGTGGAGGCAGCATGGTCCAAGGTGGCCTTGGTGGCCTCAGGAAGGACAGAGCTCAGAGCTATCTCTACCCTCTGGACCCCAGTTGCTCCTGTCCTACCTGAGCCTTGTGGGGCAGCACTGGACAGGATCCACTTGATTAAACAGCATCGCATCAGGGCCTGGCGGGTGAACCGTGGCCTCTGCCACTTGATGCCTTCCTTTTTGTTCAGTGTTATGCGCCCTGGGTCTCCAAGGAGGCTGCCATCGGATGCTTTCATTGCTTCCTGCAGAGGGAATTGACATGGGGGGTGGTTAATACAGGTTCACATGGGGGACCTCCAGAAGGTCCTGAAGGCCAGTCCTAACCCCATCAGGAGCCTGCTCTGCAGGCTGGAGGATCCCCTACACACACACACACAGACACACACACAGACACACACACCAGACACACACACACACCGAGAGAGGGAGAGACAGAGAGAGAGAGAGAGAGAGAGAGAGAGAGAGAGAGAGAGCGCTCCTGCCCCACCATCCCTACGTGATTTCTTTCCATTCTGCACTCAGGCTTTGACATAGGGTGGGTCCCCAGAAGAAGGTTCCAGAGAAGTGAGCCCAGACTTTTCACCTCAAGCTCGTCCCTCCGCAAGCTAGGCTGCCAGAGCAGAATAGTTCCTTAGAGAACTGACTGAAGCCTAGAAAGAGAGAGAGGGCTCACCCAGGGGACACAGTGATTTAGGTGCACATCTTTTCTCCCAGCGAGAAGACTTGCTTAGTCTGAGTTTTCACCTGGAAGTGAGCTGAGGGTAGATGAAAATCCGCGTGACCACCTGGGCGGGACACCCACCAAACTTGATGAGGCATGCCCATGGCCGTCTGGCCAGTCAATTAGGTGGATGGGATCGGGGTTGTTGAGAGACGGTGGGAACTAAATTTAAGTAGGTGTGAATCAGAAAAGGTCAGCCTGGAGCCACTGTGGAGGATTCGGAGATGTTTGTTTGCCTATAGTAATACTGCTGCCCTTCAATCCTGGCTGTCAAACTGTCTGCCATCATCGGTCCCTAGTGGTGGCAGGGCAGCTCCTGGCTGGGTAGGCTGCAGTCAGCCATGACAGACCCTCTGGGTTTCTGGTTTGCTTTGTCTATGCCCTGTCTCCCACTAGCACAGCAATGGGACACGTGTGGTCTTGGCTCACAGTGGTCGTCCATCGTACCCTCAGCAACACCCCTGCATTCCTCCCCCTTTCAAGGCTCACTTGGCAGTGAGGAACATTGGTGTGGAGGGAAGCGGGTGCCAGGGATGTGGAAGGAGCCATCTCCCTACACACATTGTGCTTACACACTTGCACACTCAAACACACGTGTATCTTCTCCTGCATGCACACACAGACTCACATGCAGGCACATGCTCACGCACACACCAGGCCCTTCTACATTATTAAACATCTCATTCAGGAGACAAACGGCCTCGATGAATAAAATCTGTGTGTTGGTCAAGGAGGGGGGGCGGGGGGGGTAGGCAGGTGG